ATTTAAGTAGAAAAGTAAAAAGAAAATGCATTCGATAATTTTTATGCAGTAACTTGGGAAATTAACATGATCGTTTTGCGTTCATAAAACTGCAATTTACATTTGCACAGGTTAAGTTTAATCTTCTTTAGTTAAGTGGACATAGATTTTCAAAAACTTGCAAACATGTTTCCATGTAATTATCGATCGTTATTTTTCAGTTTTGTTAATACCAAATTTCTATTTCTCATTCCTTAACGAAATGCCAGTTTATTAAATAAAGTGAATGCTGGTAGGCTTTAAATTCCACAAGGAAATTTTAATACTTAATTCACTGTAAGTAATGAATTATCTTATTTGATGCATTTTTATTTTAAATTGTGCAAGTAAGCCAAGAACTCATGATGTTCCTCGTTTAAAATGTTACAACAATAAAAGTAAGAGTGTATTATCCTCTTACGTTGAGAACGGGTTCAAGAATAACATTGCAGCTCAAGTTATGAGTAGTGTTTAACCCCTTACCATCAAACCAATCCGCATTACTAATGATATCAAATAAGTAGTAATTATTCCAAAGCGTTTAATGCATTCATTAAGATTATTGGCTCATGATTTTCAATTCCACGGCGACCAATTAGATTGGGACCCAAAGTTTCATTAGGAAAGATGGCAAATGGGGAGACAGCTTGGGTCACTATACCACCGCTTTAGGTAAGTATGCTTGTTCTTCAGCTTCTAGTTACTATTTATTCTATTTTATAACTTCATCAAGTTTTATATTTATAGGGGAAGCCATTTAACTTTCTATATTTCTTAAGTTTAAATACACTGTCAGTTATTTTAAAGCTTTAGATTTTAAGATAAGAGTTGTAAGGCCTTGATTTAATTATTATTAGCTTAGTGATCGATAGTTTTAAGTGACTTATAGCAACAATTCACAAAAATTAACGATTTATCTCCCAAAGGGGTTTTGTTTATTAATTACGACTATCTATATTTGTTGTATTAGCCATTTGACTTGCTATTCAAATTAATAAAGCAAATATATTGCAAAAATTCTGATACTCTTTATATTAAACTTGACTAGTTTATTACACAAAACTTTACAAGTATTCCAAACCAGAAAGAATGTTCTACTGGAAAGTACTTATTGATTGGAGAAGTGTTCAAATTTTATGAGACTATCATTTATTTATTTATATCAAATAGCAGGCGTTTTGAGAGTTATTATTAGCCATTTAGTTGACTTCAGGCTTCACATAGGGGAAGGAACAACAAAGTGAACAAAAGTCGAGAGGGAGGTGGGGGAACAGAAGAGTGTTTCGAAGATATAAAAGAGACAGACACAAAAGTAGAAAAAGGTGAGGTGAGTACTATGGAAGTACTCACATACAGTAGGGTGATGGTAGTTTGAAGTCAGAGCTCAACTGCCGGTTTATAGACTTTTTTGCCTTTTGAGTATACGTTGCCCAGGGTGTACCAGGTGGAGGTATGTCTATCGCACACCCCAGACTATTATGGTTTATAGTAAACTGTATGTTCAGTATAAATAAATGGAAAATACGATTAGCATTATGGAGTTTGCATTTGAAATTAGACACATAAAATCGTCGAACATCAGGAATGACTGATCCTTAGTGAAAAGAATGCTAAATCTCTTTTGAGTAGGTTCTTGAACCGCAAATCAGAGATCAGAAGCTGGTAAGGCAGAGAGATTGGCTGCGTTATTATTAATAAATATTAGATGGAATTGATTATTATTTTAGTTTCTTTGGAGCTAAATTCAAACATGCCACTTCCAATCAACTGAATCGATATAGGCTTGAACTCCAAAGGTAAAAAAAGCTTAAGTTTCAGTTTCATAAAGTGACAAATGGCAGAACAAAGTGATAATTTTTCATCGTCGAGTTCAATAAGAATGATGTGGATGTGGTTTACTTAAAAAATTGCTTTATGGAATCAGACTGAACCATGGTTAGATAGTGGTTAACGCGTTGATTATTGTTTCAAGATCAAAACTTGGTAGACTATTTCAAGGGTCGGTGGACGAATTCTTGTTCAATACGACCAGCGCCCATTAATTTATTGGTTAATTAGAATTACATTTCGTTCTACATTTTACTTACTTAGTCTTAGAAATATGAAATTGCGTCGAACAGCACACAAGTAAACAGTTCAATTCTAGGAACAACTATAATAAACTTTTATAGGAACTGGAAGATGTCATGCATTAGATTCCGTTTACATTAATATTTCATAATAGACTATTTTCATGGGAGCGCTTAAATATTTTGATCTACGTAAGTTTACCTATTTATTTCCCCTTCTATAATTAACATTGAAGAGCATTTGTAAGTATTCAATTAAGCGAACTTGTTAAAAACTTCTAAAATAATTCAACTTTCAGGATCAATATCCACAAATATCGAAAAATAGACAGGGATTAAGAGGGTGACGGAAATTCTAACAATTAAAAAAGTGGTAAGTTGGAGTGGGGGGGGGGGGGGGGAGAGAGTGGATGGGTTGAGGACTACTTATCGGCTCAAGATATTAATAGGGGATTAATCCACTGAGCTAATAAGAGGGGATTTTCCCGTAAATTGACTTGCAAGCAATATTCAACGATAGGTCGTAAACCATTCCTTAAATAGCCACCAACGCTTAGGAGATCGAATATTTTTAATGTGAAATCCCATGAAACAAGGACTTTTTAAAAAGAAATTATGAAAACGCATTTAATTGGGTGTACATGAAAGAGCTTGATAGTTCATTGGCCAGTATTGTCTTTATTTGTGGGAAGGCTTGTGGGTGGGGTGGGATGGGGGGGGGGACATTACGCAGGTGTCATAATCGTCTTTTGCTATACCTAATCAAAAGCCACTTAACAAAACCTACGCTAAACACGAGAAAGAACTGACTGGATGGTGGGGAGAGCAAACCAAATGAGCTGATGTTGGTTTGATCGGATAAGAGGAGAAGATACGGCAATGTATCATATTTTTCAATTTTGACATGACTATAGGGTGTTAGTTTTAAATTAAGATGTGCATATAACGTGTTCCGTCTGTGATTATTTACTGTTAGATAGTTACTACAGTGTATGGCTGTGCATGACAATATCCGAAACTGATATCCTACGTTTGTTTTAGGAAACTCATTGAGAATGGAAGCGGAAGACAAAGAGAATGAAACTACCTTTACTGAGAGAGCCTATAGTAGACTTCGAAGAGTCTTCACTAGAAGAGGTCTCGTTCTGTTGATTGTGACCATTGCTCTATTTCTCGACAATATGCTACTTACTACTGTTGGTAGGTTTAAAAACAGACTGTCTTAGAACAGACTTTAGAATACAATTTATTCACAATAAATGAATTTCTATTTTATTAATTAAAAACAAATGTGTGTATATATATATGTGCAATCGGAGTTTGTGGGTTTGTATCCAACGATGCAATAAACAGTGTGCCAACAGTTATCCTCCTGACCAGTTTTATAAGAAGAGGTGGCAGTGGAAACTTGAAAATGATGTTTTTCTGCCAAATATGGGTTTTGGGAGATGCTTCTCTCCACCAATTGGAAGATTGTGTAAGGACCCATTCCCAATGGATCTAAAGTGCCAAAGATGAGGAAATTCCATTGCCTTGTTCTATGAATTCTCTTGCCTTCTCGTAAAGCTGCATAACTTATATTTCCCGCATTGTTATTGTTATCAGTGGGAGTCAAGAGTGTGTGTTAAAAGGGGGCGTTTAAGAATAACAACAATTATCGAGGCTCTAGTCTAGCTCCTAAGAGATATTAGGTAAGCAACCTTCCAAATTATTATTATTTATTTCAATTTCAAAAGTTTGGTTTTCCCAGATATCGTTTTAAGCACTGATAATCTGCTTTCATGAAACGGATATATTGGTTAGAGCAAATTTACGAAGCAATTCGATTTCATTAACTTTTGAAACATGTTACGTTGTTGGCATATTTATAAAAATATGACAAACGTAGTCATAATTTACTTTTCTAGTACCCATAATTCCGAATTTCTTACTCACAACGAGAGCTCGAAGTCTTGTAAACACCATCTTAAATGCTACCTCGAAGAACTGCACCTCAAAAAGTCTCCTTGAAAAGAGTCTCACAGAGGCTGTTATCCACATGGTTCCATTTGGCTGGTCAAGTCGTGCCCATGTTCCACTTTCCATGGAGGATTTCTTGGACCCC